ACAGATGAAAGCCATAAGTTTCTGGAAAAATTAAAATATGCTCAAATTGATGCAAAAAGAAATAGAAAACTTGAATATAACAATAAGTTTTAAGAAAAATTAAAATGATAATCAAAGACACCTCATCTCGTAGCAAAAAGCTTCATGCTCAGACCCAGATGGTTTTGCAGATTGTAGTTCTATCTAACTTTCAAGAAAATGTTAATTCCCATCTTATACAAATTGTTCCAGGAAACAGGAAAAGAGCAAAACTGCCCAGCTCATTTTATGAGGCTAGAATAGTCTTGATTCTAAAACCAGATAAGTAAAATACAAGACAATAAAGTTATAGACACCTTTCACTTATGAATATAGATACAAAAGTTCTAATAAAATATTGGCTCCCTGAATTCAACAGTGTATTTTTTAAAAATCACAAGTAGGGTTTATCCCAGAAATACAAACATGATCCAAATTAGAAAACTAGTGAATGTAATTTACCACATTAATAAAGTAAAGGGAAAATCAAATGATAACCTCAAAGCAGAAAAGGATTTGATAAGATTTAGTACCTGTTTCTTTGTTTTTCCTTTTTTTTATTTTTGGCAGCTGGCAGGTTCAGGGATCCGAACCCTTGACCTTGGTGTTATAACACTGTGCTGGAACCAACTGAGCTAGCTGGCCAGCCTGAGTATCTGTTTGTGATACTAAAAAAAGAACTCTTAGCAAACAAAATAAGAGAAGAGAACTTCCTTAATTTGATAGAGGTTATGTGACAAAAACATACAGCAATTTTAAATGCATTTTCCCTTTTAAGATCAGGAACAAGGCAAGGATATTAACTGTCAATACTATTTAATATAAAACTGGCCAATGCTATATATAAGGAAAGGAAGAGAAATGAGGTGTAAGTTGTGGAAAGAATAGATAAAACTCATTTGCAAATGATGTGACTGACTACCTTAAAGATCCAACAAGATGATCAGAAAAATAAGACTGAGGGCCGGCCCATGGCTCACTCGGTAGAGTGCGGTGCTAATAACACCAAGGCCCTGGGTTCGGATCCCACATAGGGATGGCCGGTTCGCTCACTGGCTGAGCGTGGTGCTGACAACACCAAGTCAAGGGTTAAGATCCCCTTACTGGTCATCTTTAAAAAAAAAAAAAAGAAAAATAGGACTGATAAAAGAGTTTAGCAAAGTCTCTAGATACAAGATCAACCTGTAAAAATCAAAAACATCAGGGCTGGCCAGTTAGTTCAGTTGGTTAAAGCACAGGTTTGGGCCCCCAAACAGGCCAACCCCCCACCTCCTACCAAAAAAAAATCAAGAGCATCTCTACACTGGCAATAACCAACAAGAAAATAGTCAACTAGATTGAATTTAACCAATACAAAAGACCTCTATTTAGTAAAAATTTAAACTCTAATAACAGAAATAGATGATCTGAATAAAAGGAGAAACAATTCATGATCTTTTATGGGATGATTTTGGTGATCTATTGGCTATCTATTGGTAGCAAATTACCCCAAAACTTATTGGCTTAAAAGAATAAACATTTATTATCTCACACAGTTTTGGAGGGTCAGGATTCTGGGAGTGGCTTAGCTGGGTGGTTCTGGTTCTGGCTCAGAGTCTCTCAAGGGGTTGCAGTCAGGATGTTAGCCAGGACTGCAGTTATCTGAAAGCTTGGATCCACTTCTAAGAAGCTCTGTTCACAGGGCTGTTGGCAGGAGGCCTGTGCCTTGACAACTGGGCTCCTCCATAGGGCTGCTCATGACATACCACCTAACATCCCACAGAGTGAGCAGTCTGCATAAGAGAGAGCAAGAAGCTGAAGTGCCTTTTATGTCACAGTATCTTAGAAGTGACACACTATCACTTCTGCTTCATTCTGTGCATTACAAGTGTGCACATTCTGTGCATTACAAGTGTGCATTACTAAGTCCAGCCTACACTCAAGGTGAAGGGAGTTAGGTTCCAACTCTTGACAAGAGCAATATAAGTGTACTTCAAAAAGTTCATGGAAATGTATTGATGTTCAACTCTGTACCCCATAAATAAATATGTATAGTCAATATGTTTCAATAAAAATAGTTCACGGAAAGATGCGTATTATCGTTTAATTCTATTTTTCCATGAACTATTCGAAGTACCCTGAAATCTGAGTGTGGTCATATCTTAAAACCTCCTCAGGTAATATTATCAAGATGTTTTTTTCTCCCCAAATCTATAAATTCAATGCCTTCCCAATAAAACTTCTATTACCTTTTTAAGAAATACAATAAACACATTAAAATTTAGAATACTAAAGGATCATTGATAGCTAAGATAACCTTCAAAAGGAAGGATTATAGGGGCCGGCCCGTGGCTCACTCGGGAGAGTGCGGTGCTGATAACACCAAGGCCATGGGTTCGAATCCCTATATAGGGATGGCCGGTTCACTCACTGGCTGAGCGTGGTGCTGACAACACCAAGCCAAGGGTTAAGATCCCCTTTCCGGTCATCTTTAAAAAAAAAAGGAAGAATTATGATGGGGACTTGCTCACTAGATGTTAAGACATACTAAAGGCCTTAGTAATTTTTTTTTTTTTTCAAAAGATGACCGGTAAGGGGATCTTAGCAAACACCTTGACTTGGTGTTGTCAGCACCACGCTCACCCAGTGAGCAAACCGGCCATCCCTATATGGGATCCGAACCCAGGGCCTTGGTGTTATCAGCACTGCACTCTCCCGAGTGAGCCACGGGCCAGTCCCATTAGTAATTAAATTTAAAAAAAAAAATTGATATTGTCCCAAGAGCTGACAAGTAGGCCAATGGAAGAGAAAAAACAGCTCAGAGACAGAGCCATATACCCATGGAACTTAATATATGACAGAGGTGGTAACACACACACACAGAGATGGGACGGATTGCATAGTAGACGGTAATGAGATATCTAGCTCATGACATGGAGAAAAATTAAACTGGATCTCTATCTCACACCACATACAAGGACAGACTCTAAATGGTTTTAAAGACCTACACGTGAGAGCAAAACTATAAAATTAATTGAAGAAACTGTAGGAGAATATCTTTGTGACCTGCGGGAAGAGAAGGATTTCTTTAAAAACACGGACCATAAAAGGAAAATAATTGATTGTATCATATTTAAGGATCTTTATTCACTAAGGATATTACTTACAATAGTAATAACACAAATGCCAGAGTGGGAGAGGCTATTTGCAATTTCCAACACCTGGTTAATAATTAGACTATAGGAGGAACCCCTGAAAGTCAACAAGAAGAGAAATATATGAATTGGTCTGATAGGAATATGGATAATTAGCATACAGTACCCTGATGGTTAACAAGTCTAGTTTGTGTTTTGAGAGGCAGACCCTTAAAAGGCTGGGCAAATCTAGTCTATGGATAAGAAATTTAGAGTCTCTCAGGGCAAACTAACCCATTCTTCCTTGCTGGGGAGCTCAGAAATGAAAAATCCGTCAAATCCATTCATTGTAAAGGTAGCTCAGATACTGAAGGATGGACAAGATCAAATTGTGGAAAGTGGGCTCAGACACTACTTGCTTTGGGTAAATCCATTGTGTACTGTGAATACTTTCTGTAGATTAAGGGCTCAGCTACCCTGTGTGACAGCAAAGATCTTTCTGTGGATTAGGATTTACACCCCTCGAAGATTGGAACATCCTGTTTTATTGAAGACATCTCAGGCAGTCTACTGATGGCTGGCTTCAGAAGGCAGTTAGATTAAGATGCAAGCTGAAGTCAGAGATGAGAAGGAATGATGCCAGGGAAAAGGGGCCCACTACAAGCGGCTAAATATTGGGCACGGAGGAGAAAACGTAGGAGGGGGTCAAGGTCAGACAGTGAGAAAACGTACAGTATGAGGACAATTGTGAAGGGTAATCACGTCAGAGAGATAAACCTCATTTGAGGGATATGAGGATAGAAGACTAGAAGGTGAAGGAGATTGCCATTAAAGGACGGTAATAATCGGCAGACCTTGAAGAAGACGACTGCAATAGTGAGGAGGGCATCATATTTAATGGGGGAAATGACGTCAAGGACAGTAACAGTGATGTCAGAGGCGGAAAGGGGTATGCGAGTAAGAAGGTCGGTGCGCAGCACGGATAAAGACGACTCGGCAGCTGGGGGGAGATGCTGACGTTAAGGTGCACCAATCAGATAAACGCAGCCTCCGTTCCCGGAAGCAAGAGGAGCGCAGTGTTCCCTCCGCTCTGCCGTCCCTTCGTCCCCCGCCCCCTCCCCGCTGGCTTCAGCCAACGAGCACGCACGCCTGCACGCGCTGGGGGGGAACGTTCTGTGACGTATCCGCTACGTACGCTTTATCAGGCGTCTTCCCGCGCGGCCGCCTCCCTGTTCTCTCTGCTCCTCAGAGCTTGCTGTTTCTTCGGTCCTCTTACTTTTTTATTTTCAGGTAAGCAGCATATGTCTTGCGGAGCGACCGCTCCTCGACTACTCTCGTGCGCCCAGGACGGCCTAGAGCAGGGGTAGCAAGTGGGGAGAGTAGCGACCGCTGACGCGCTGGCTTGGGCTTCTCCGGGGCGGGCGGGTCGTGTGCGCGGAGGCGAAACATTTCTGTTGGTGAGAGGCTGGTAGCTGAATCCGAGTGCGAGGAATGCCGGGAGAGGCTGGTGGCATCGGTGTGGCAGTGGCCACACGATAACCAGACTTGCTGCTCCCATTTTTCCCACGTGACCGCCGCCATCTTGTACTGCGGGCGCGGAGGGAACGCCAGCGTGTTCTGAGTCTGCGCGGCGTTACAAAATGAAGGGCATGGGGGTAGCGGACGTTGTGGGCATGCGCGATGGTGGTACCCAAATGGCCACCTCACTAAGCTATCACCTCAGATTCCCGCCTTTTCAGCCTCCTTCAGTTTCTTCTTAGTTGTCCCTTATTTTGTTCCACTTGTCTATTTTCTGTGTTTCTCTCCCCCTTCTCTCCTTTCCCACTTCTCCAGCTTTCTTCTTCCACCTTCACTTTCTCCCACTCTTTCTCTCTCTTCTCCCCCCAGGAGTCGAATTCACTGCCATGTCCTCTGAAGAAGGGAAGCTCTTCGTGGGGGGGCTCAACTTCAACACCGACGAGCAGGCGCTGGAAGACCACTTCAGCAGCTTTGGGCCTATCTCTGAGGGTGAGACATAGGCCAGACACACGTTGGGGGTGGGGGAGATGAGAGGAAGTCTGAGACCTTTGCGTTTCAAGGAACTTTAAGAGAAGAGTCAGGACTCCAGGCCTCAAATTCTTTTTTCTTTTTTTTTTTTTTGTTTTTTTGAAAAGATGACCGGTAAGGGGCTGGCCCGGGGGCGCTCCCGCCGAGGGTTCGGATCCCATGTGGAGAACGGTTCCCGCTCACTGGCTGAGCGAGGTGCGGGTGCGACACCGAGGGTTGCGATCCCATTGCCGGTCACGAAAAAAGACAAAAAGGAAAAAAAAAAAAGA